ACTGTGCTCTTGAGCGCCTAGCAGAGTTGGAACAGCTTGCATTTAGGGTGTGAGGTTCATTATTGTTCCTTCATTCATTTTATGAGGTGATAAAACATTCATGCCTAATCTTATGAATTAACAATAAAAGCCTCATGATGTCAATAACTTAACTCTGACCTTTGAACTTTACTCATCCACAACCTTCTTGCTGTGAGGCAACAGTACTAACCACTGGAGCACCGCGCTTTTACTTTTTAAAATTCTTTTAGGATGAAAATCTTTCGGGTCTATTTAAATTTTTGTAGAATTGTTTTTGTTGTTGTTTCTTTTGTTTTTACTTATAAGTGATTCTCTAAGCGCTGTACCTTTCTGTAGGTGCTTTCTAGTTTGTTTTTCTTTCTTTTGTTTTCTTAGGGGAGGGGGCGTGTTTTATAAGTAAGGTTTGAAGAGAGAAAAAAAACAGCGGTTTGTTTACTTCCTATATGAACGGGAACCGCCCACAGATTGCCTGAATGATTTCCGTGTGATTAGTTTTTTTATTGAAAAAAAGAGCGCCATCAATCAGCTATTTAAACGAAACATGTTTACTTTAATGTAAAATCGCAACATAAAAATCTAAACGAATAAACAAATGTCGGTTAATGTATCTGGCAGCAGTCTCGGCTCCTCCGCTGGTCCGGAAAACTCCAGAAAGTTCTGGAGCCGGTAAAGAAGCTTCACCGGAACCGGCGCGCTCATTCAGAGTAGTTTCCACCGTGGTCGTGTTGGCTGTACGTGGCTGAGAGCTCGTGAGTAACTGACGGAAAACCTTTAAAAGATAAACGTTCACCGGCTGCTCTGTTTTTACTGACACATTGAACGTGACCGTCGCTGTTTACTTACCGTTAATAATCTGTAAAGCGCTAACGTTTTAACGGGTTGACGGTACGAGCTGGTACAGCAACGTCACATCATTTTCTGCCGTAGTTTAAAACGACGGTAAACAAACATATATATTTTCGTAAATCTCTACTGTGCAATGTAAACTAACTGGACTCCGTGACTTTAATCCTGCGTCTATTCCCTCCTCATTCTTTGCTGTTTTAGGTTAAGCGCAAATGGCTGTTCTAACGTTTTCGTGGCCCTGCTGGATTCTGATGCTCGTTGTCGTCGCCACCGCGTCCTCTTTCGCCGGTGAGATTTCGCCTCGGCGCCGAAGCGAACAAAACAAATCACTCCGCTGACTGTGCAAACCTCTATGTGTGATTGAGTATTCGGTGCCTTTTATTGGTTGGAAAAATGTTCCAAAATCTCAAAGTTGTGGTCACGTCACGTCATCGTAGATGGCGCGTTGGTCGTAAGTTTGGAAGCCTTTGAATGGAAGAATCGTGAGTTTAAACACGGAGACTTCAGATCGTTCCCTGCGGTGCTTACTTGTCAAACATATTGAGCCACAAACAACGTTCCTGTCAAAAGGGAGAAGCTGCTATCAATTTTCTGCTAAAAACTTTAGTAGACATTTCAAGTGGGCCAATATATAACCTCTCTTTAATTCTGTAAAGATGTTTTCATTGGCTGAAAAAAGGCAGGCACAAATATGTTTGCAAGCAGGGGCGCCTCCAGAAATTTTCTTAGGGGTGGCCATATAGGGACCCCTAAAAACACTGGGCTTACACACCAACAACAGAATTCTTCTTAAGTCTTATTATGCTTTTGTAAAATATAGGTTACTTTAAAAATATGGCAAAAAAACAGAGAAAGAAAATAAATATGTACTTAGTTAATTTCCTGCTGTTAAAGTTGATATGACTAAAAATAGGTACATAAGAAAAATTTTGAACTCAATAATAAAACCCTCTCTCTTGTGCTCAGTCTGCCATTGCTATAACAACAAAAGACTGATCCATTGGCGTGAATGGAGATAATGCGACTCTTCCATTTAACGGCTGTAGTATCAGCTGAGTTGTGTATTAGATATGATGCGTTATACTGTATCAAATCCCTCACGCCCGACAAGTTGGAAGGATGCCTCTTCTACGTCACACTGGATGCTCTTATTCACAGAGTTACGGTAAACTAGGCGCCACGTGAGTTCCACTGATATGTCCAAATATCAAACTGCAATATTTACTTAGGGAGTTTACACTCCACTGATTAAAAAGGCACTTTTGAAAAGTTTTTTGAAAATATGTCACTTCATTCTGTGCAACTGTGCAAAAATTAGCTTTTCAGCCAGTTTCTGAGGAAAAGGAGTATCAAGGACACACTAAGAAGAAGAAAAATATTTTCATTTTGAAGGTTTTTAAAAAAAAAAATCTATGGATTTATCAAGCAAAAAAAAGTGGTGCTCCAGAGTGGAAGGAGAGTGAACAGGAGGATGACTGCAACGCTAGGACTTGGGATTTGGGTATTGAGGCCCATGGTGGGTGTGAAACATGAAGGTGTCATGGGTGAGTAGTTTGGGATTTTTGTAAAACAATGAGATATTGTTAGCACTTATGCACTTGTACTGTAACTTGTGTGATATCTGCTGGCTCACTGAAAATGAGGAGTCAAATAGACGAGTGGCAAGGCTGAATCTATTTCGTGTGTGTGTGTGTGTGTGTGTGGTAACCACATGACAATGACAGTGTGAGTTTATACCCTTAAATAAATGCGTCCAGACAGAGAGAGGCAACAATATCTGCATTATTAACCAAAAATGTACTTACAGATTTTAGAAGTGTACCAGATAAACATATAAACAGATAAACATACCTTTTGTAAATTCTCTAACCTCTGTGTTGTTTCGTCTTTCAGAGCGCAAAATCATCACCGCTGGACCCGTCGTCACTCTGCCGTGTCAACCTCCAAATGACCGCTCCATCCTAGCTGTAGAGTGGACAAGAGCTAACCTGGGCTATAAATACGTGGTTTTGTACCGGGCTGGACACTTTGACTCTTTCATCGGGTTTAAGAACCGGGTGGATCTGCAGCAGGGGAACATCATCAACCAGAGTGTTGTTGATCCTCCAGGTGAGTGAGTAGAGTTGAGTGTGTGTGTGATCAGAGGTGAAGCTGCTTCCTGGTTGTTGATGTTTGTTTCTAAAGATGTTGTTGATGAGACTTTGTAGAAAACAGCTGGTCTGAGTGATGTGATCAGAGTGCAGTAGATAATGTCTGACAGCAGTTTGAAGAGGAAATGGATTCTGTTCTGTTCTTCACTCATCACCTACCTGACAGCTGACACCTCACACCTGTTTCTCACCTGCAGGTCAGACAGGAGGACACACAGAGGATGGAGGAGAGAAGAGTGGATCTGTTGGACTGAGGTTTTTGTTTAGGGAGTTCATGGCGGTGGTGTGTGTGGTGGGGGTGTTGGTGATGTTTTCGGAGCTGCCTTTGAAAATGTCTTTGGTTGTTTTGTTGGTGGTGGTGATGGTGTTGTTGTTTTTTTTTTGAGGTACAGAAAACTTAAAACAGCAGATGCAGGGTTCATATCAGGCTGCAGTTGAACTTGAGTCTGTTTGAAATGTTTTAGTTTTTTCCAGCTGATCTGAGGTGACCGCAAAGATTTTCAGGTTTCATGTTTAAAAATCCATTAATTAATTTATTAATTTATTTATTTTAAGTGGTAAAAAATGTCCAGAGTCAAAGTTGTGCTTTTAGTTACTCACTGTCTGTTCACAAAAATCATGCGTAACTGGAAGTCTTCATATTCATTTGAAAAGAGAAAGTTGTTACTTTTACTTGTTGCATCAAACTACCTGCTGCATCACCTTAAACAGATAAAACACTTGTGTTTATATCAGAGATGTTTCTAAGCATTAAGCACTGTGCACACTTCTTAACTTTGTTATTGCACACAGTTTTTAATATATTTATTTCTATTGCAGACTTCATTAGTAATAGTGAAATGTAAGATTTATTTTTATTCTATTTTAAAAATGAAATGTATTTCATCAGAAATCTGGGAGTTTGTGATTCTAATGTTTAATTCTAATGTTCAAGTGCCCTGTGGATATCACCTGAATAAAACTGAAGCTGGAATCAAAGTGTCATGCCTGTTCTGGTTCTTTTCATTTTAAAATGTTACTTATTTGATGGTTTCAATCATTTTTAATACAGAGAGGAGTTAAATCAACTCAACCCTCTCTACCGAAAAGTCACTTTGGACTTGATCTGCTTCAAACTTCTGCTAGTCGTGAATCAAACATCAAAATGTGGTTATACAAAGTGGAAAAATTACAATCAAATCAAAATCTGCAAACTTTGACCCCACAGAGTCGAGCTCAGTTCAATCAGCTGCATTTCGATGTCATTGGCATTACCTCAGCCAATTAATGCCAGTAATTCCTTTAAACCCTTCTGGGCTCTAAAGGGATGCATTTTTAAGGGTCAGCAAAGGGTAAAAAAAGAAGAGGAGAAGAAAGGAGCAGAAGATACAGGTAAGCAGATGTGTCAACTGGATAATGGCAGGTATTATGTATGACATGCATCCTGAAACAAGATAACATTTATTGGTAGGGATAGTGACAATTTCTGTTTATCTTTGTTAGCTACTTGGCTATGATAGTGAACAGTAGACAGAGAGTAGACGCTGATGTGGCTTATTGGATCTTATGGACTGTGTTCAGCATAATAATATTATTTCATTAATTGTAAGAGATGTATTGTTGATTTGTCTGCTATTCTCAACAAATTAAAAGGGTTGTTTGTTAGCCGTCTGCATACTCTCTCTCTCTCCCTCGATAGATAGATAGATAGATAGATAGATGTTCTTCCGGGGCACCAAACAGCCTAGGACCGCCTCTGCAGAGAGCACAGTGATGACTGACCTATCCTAGACATGCACGTGTACTTTCAACCAATATTTATTCACAGGTAGTATAAGTTGATAGAGGTCCCCTGCTGATTGGTTTAAGTGTAAGTATGCGGAACTTGTGAAGATCCAGTTTTCACCGGTTTTCAGTGGACCCATCGACATTAAGGACGACGCACGGAGGATAGGCGCAGGGAAGTTTTTTTTCTCACTTTTTAGTAATAATATATTTTTTTAAAACTTATTTATCGCGGGGGATCTATCGCATATAAAATAAAAAAAGTTTTACTGTCGAAGAAGAAAGACTCGCAACAACGCCATGAGTGCTGGGACATATTTGGGTCTCTGCTTGAGTTTACTGGTCATCCGCGTCTCGTTGGGCTCTGCAGGTAAGGCTGAGCAGGTTTTAAATGCTGCTGTTTTGTAATGATTTGTGAAGTTACAGAAACTCACAGATAAATAAATTCACATTCTGTAGATATGTCGATGGGTGTTGTGACCAGGAGATATTTTATTTTGTATTCTTATGATCACAGTTATAAGCAGAAGTATCAATCATTAATCATTTACCATGGTTGAACAGTTGACAGAATAATCTTTGAACCACATCTATGTGAATATTAATCAATACAGATTATCAGTACTTTAATTAGTCTACTGTTGTTCTGTACTATTCTTGTTATTTGCTTAAAGTTGTTGCCTAGTTCTGTTTCACAGAAGCCTGTGGGTCCTGCTGGACCCTGGCTTAGGATGTTATCTGCCTTAGTTCTGCACGTACACAGGCCTTTAGAGAACTTGCACGTACTTATATAACTCACGCACGTTTACACACACACTTAGTAAGAATACTAGGGTTGTCTGAGGACAGTCTTCTGTTAGACATACTTTCACAAAAGGCACAAATGTAATACACACTTGTTTTTCTCTAAATCTAGCAGTTCATGTCCATATTAGGTAAACTGTTTGACCAGGCCCAAACTGTTATCATTTCCAGTAAGGTCCAACTGTGTGACGTCATCATGGTAATATAAGCATGAAAAGCCTCCGCCCAGCGGAGATTGTTGATGTAAAACTGTTTTCCCCGCACTTCTGCGCAAAGTGTGTAATAAAGATCACTATTTTTGACACCTTCCACGGACTCGGCTTGCTTTTCCTTTTTACCCAAACCGAACCATCGCAACAGTGTGTTGGTGACCGGACAGGTTTAACGTCAAAAGTAAAGCTGGACTGAACCGATTAGAAACGTATCTGAGGAGTAAACTCAGGCTTTAAAACGTATCAAACTGTTCTCCTAAAATTAGTGGAAAAGGAAACGTCTAGAAAAAATGACTATAGACCGGTCCCCACATGTGGTAACAGGTAAAATCCGCAAAGTTACCCGTGGCTCAACACACGATCACTAAAGACTATGTACATTGTTTACAGTCCTGTTTCTAATGTCACTGGTTCAGTGGACAGCTCCTGACGGCGAGTCACGGAAACAGTTTAGAGTCTGTGGCTGTTCCTGTGTAAAACACAGCTATTGGGCCTAAAAAATGTGAATAGTAGGATCTCAGTCTAAATGACATGATCCACTGAGACCTGTGCGGTGTCACCTCAAAGAGAGATTTATTGGTTAGTGAGGTATTGTGGGTTTCTAATTGAGAGTTTTAAATGGGAGGTAGATGACTATTTTGGAAATGCGTTTTGGTCACAGGGTAAGCACATCCTGTCTCTTAACCCTGCACTGAAGCCTTATACACACTGGAAGTGATCCCCAACAACATGGTGACTTACACCACACAAGGTGAACAATATTTGGTTGTGCAGTGCTGGCAACATAAAGTGGGCATTTTTCAGTACAAGTACATTAGAGGGTCATCAGATGTCTTCTTAAAAGTGATTTACAGCGAGCGAATCACTTCTAGTGTTAAAGTTTGGCTCAGTAGTTTGGTGGGTGGTTCTGAACAGAAACAGATTGGCTGCTGTGAAGGTGATGAGTCCTCACTCTGTTTTCTTTTCTTTTCTTTTCCTCAGCTTCAGACCAGCAGATCTTACGACATCCTGGGATGAGTGTCAATCTGACATTTCAGGTTCCCACTGACACCACATCTGTATGGCTAAAAAGACTTGAAAAATATAAAGACAATGATAAATATATCTCCTACTGCCAAGACTCAACACCAACACGTCCCAGTGACCAGGAGGAGTCAATCAAGGGTCGGGTGGAGGGGATGGACTGTAGCAATATCAGCGGCACAGTCTCTGTAACATTGAAGAACCTGACCAGCAACGACAGTGGGACATACGAGCTTCAAGGGGTGGACCATAGTGGAAGATACTTTAATAGAACTGTCTTCCTCAACGTTACTGACCCAGGTGAGACAGGCTTATTCACAACATTACCTCCCCTGGGTATACCACCGGGTGGGTGTAGTACAAAGCTAAATAGTACAATAAATCTAGAAACATCCCTACTTTCATTTCTTGAAATATATTTTGAAGAGAACTTGTATCTCTTTCTCCTTTTTTGCCAGAGTAAAGTAATTGGACAAGCAAAATATTTTCTGTAACTGAAAAATAGAATATTGTTTAAAAATGGCAGATGATATACAGAGACAAAACTACAAACCTGACTGAATGCCGTGTTTAAATAAAAAGCACTATGTAAATGAAAGTCTTTTCCATGATTTGAAATGATTCAAATGGATAATACATGGTGGGGATTATCAGAATATCATCGTATCAGTGAAAGCAGCATGGATTATTTTGGGGTTCAGTGTCTTGCTCAAGAATATTTTGACATATATCCGAGAGGGATTAAATCACGACCTGACGTACTCTACCTTCTGAGCCACAGCTGGTCTGAGTGATGTGATCAGAGTGCAGTAGATAATGTCTGACAGCAGTTTGAAGAGGAAATGGATTCTGTTCTGTTCTTCACTCATCACCTACCTGACAGCTGACACCTCACACCTGTTTCTCACCTGCAGGTCAGCCAGGAGGAGACACAGAGGATGGAGGGAAGGAGGCTGGAGGGAAGGAGGCTGGAGGGAAGGAGGCTGGAGGGAAGGAGGCTGGAGCCAGTAGAGAACATCCTGGGCTGGCAGTCAGTCTGTTTTGTTTTTTTGTGGTTGTGTGTGGTTGTGTATGTGCGCCAGCTGCTATAAAGTGGCTTATAAATTGCTGTAAAAAGAATTCACCCTTTTCTCCTCCTTCTAATAATGAATCTGACAGAGAAACAAAGCAAATAACATTAATAATCTGCAAATAATTCAGTGGTCTAACAATTCTAAGTGAGACCACAAACGCAAAGCTCAAATTCTACAAAAACCTTTCCACTGCAGTAAAGTGGAAGGGGTTTTGAGTTTACTGCATCCTCACAGCATAAAGGTCCCTGACAGATGGTTACTACAGCTTCTTCCCAGTCTGATGACTGGTGACAAGTCTAGAGTCACCAGTCATCTTTTACCTTATGTCATAAGTTGACATAGGCCAATAAGTCCCCCCACCCATCACCCCCAACCCAAATTTGGTCTTGATGCAATTTGAAAGAATACATTGGCAGATGAGGAAGGCAAGCCGAACCCCGCCTGGGAGTTCAGTGAATGGGGAAATAGAAGCACGTGTCGCCATCTAGGAGGTCGGCGGTTGGAGAATACAAGCACGTGTCGCCATCTAGGAGGTCGGCGGCTGGAGAATACAAGCACGTGTCGCCATCTAGGAGGTCGGCGGTTGGAGAATACAAGCACGTGTTGCCATCTAGGAGGTCGGCGGCTGGAGAATACAAGCACGTATTGCCATCTAGGAGGTCGGCAGATGGGAAATGCAACACGCCACCGTCTGGGAAATTTACGCCACACGACAATAAAAGAGCAAGGAATGCAGCGACATGCTGTTTATTTTCCACTACTGCAAAACTAAAATAAATATCTATTTTAAATACGTTGTGTATTTGACATCTATAGTCGTATGAGCATGGTGGGTCATGATCTAAACAAAAGAATATGCAGCAAAAAGTGATTTGGGTCACTCTTATACCAAAAAAATCAAGGTAGCCAGCGTACCCTGCCTGGAACATGGCTACCAGGGTCCTAACCTGGAGCCAAGCCTGGAGAGAGGCTCAAGGGCGATGATCAGTTGGCCCAGCCGGGCTCAAGCTGAAGAAGCTATATGGGTCAATTCTTCTGTGGGACACTACTTTGGGATTTGTGGATCGGGCAGAGGTCCTGGTGCTCTGATGCACACATCTGCAGTGATGTGGATCGATGAGCTTCTTTCATAGAGGAGCTGGGCTCTCCCTTAAAGATGGGGTGAGGAGCTTGGTCAATTGAGAGTAAAGTTGCCGCTCCTTCACATAAAAAGGAGCCCATTAAGGTTTTTCCAGCCTTGTCCAACCAGAAGGAGGCCTCGGGTTTGACAGAGGAGATTGTGTATCATGACTAGATTGCGAGTGACTGTGTGTCACGCATATGATCTGGAAGAAGTGGCTAGATGCAACCACTCAAATGTGTAATTTCATCTAGACTTAAAACATGAACTGTGTGTGTGCAGTGGTTTATGCTTGCTAGTAAACAATGTTTGGAAAAGAAAAGGGTAAAACTACCTGTTTGTTTTTCAGTCTCTTTCAGATCCGACAACATCTAGAACATGAAATCATGACAGTGAAGTTTGTATGTAGTTAAATCCTAGAACCTCAACAGGGCTAAAATAATGAAACAGGTTTCCTGAGGACGTGGGCTTCCATGCAAACCATGACACCAGATGGGCCGGGTCAGCTTGGAGTGCAGGTACACCGCCTAGAGCCACCTAACAGCTGAAAGCATAATTTAGCAGGCAAGACAAGTGTAAGACTTTATAATCGTATTAAATCTGTGTAAGGAGGGGTCACATAACATGTTCCTTTTCCTTCCAATAACAGTAAGGCAGTATGTACCTTTACTAGTTTTACCTAAATGCAAATGCTTAGCCTTACTAAAGATCAGGTACGTGCAGTGGGGGTG